TGGAAATCAAATAAAAACCAAAACAGCCACAAACATCAGACATGCTAACACTGTAACATTATTGGATGGAGCCCACTGACACTGAACCACTATCATGAGTCTAAACTCTGACCTTTGACCTGTATCTAAAGCACTGACCTCTGACTTTTAGCTCCACTTGTTTCTTCAGCAGGATGTTTCCCTCCCAGCTGTAGACGGTGCAGGTGTAGGTCTTTGTCTCTGTGGGATATTTCAGGGTCAGACTGAGGTCTCCAGTTTTCAGCAGGTCTTTATTTATCTTCGTTCGGTTTCTGTAAACCTGGTGCTGTTCTTCAGGCTGGTCAGAGCCATTCTCATACACGTGGACCTTCCTATGGTAGATTGAACCTTCCTTCCACTCCACTTTAGCGTCTTCAGGCAGGTGAAGTGTGGTTTTGCAGGGCAGCTGGACAGACGTCACCCCTGAATCCACCTCCACCTTGTAAACTGAGAGGAAAAAAGCACAACATGAGCTGTAGTAAAAGTAACTCTCCATCGTATGGCTTTTGGCACATAATTTATTCCTGTTCTTCTCTATCTCAGCGCAGCTTTTGATTCCATTTATCACAATATGCTCCTACAGAAACAGGAACGCACTGTTGGTATTAAAGAAATTATGCTGTAGTGGTTTCAATCATATATATCTAATAGATTCCAATTTGTTCATGTAAATTATGATCCTTCTTCACTTCTTCACTCACTAAAATTATGGAGTTCCATGAAAATGAATATTGTATATTCATAATTGAATATACAATTTCAGCACCATAAGGCGCACCTAAAATCCTTTAATTTTCTCAAAAATCGTCAGTGCGCCTTATGTATAAATTCTGCTTGTGCTCACTGACCTCGAACCGATTTTATGTGGTACACAGCACTCAAAAATGTGTCAAACAATGTTTTAGTACGACTTTGGTAAGCTACGAAGCCATGTTGTTTGATGGATTGTCGGAGCATTATGGTAGTAATAGTAGTCAGGCGCCTCGCGGTGTAATCTGGGTCCAAAACTCCATCTACTTCAGGTCCCAAAGTCAAACAAACACTGCGGCATCACTGAGAGTTACAAACTGTCTAAATTCTTTCATCGTTAATAAAATGATCAGTGTTACAAGTTACAAGTTAGTAGGAAGTTAGCTTGCTAGTTTCCACCTAATCATGACATACCATGTTCTGACTGAGAGATTTCTGAAAAAAATCAAACGTACAGCTCTGCTCTCACTTCCAACATAATACAGAAAACTAAACAGCAGTGACTATTGTAGGGTTACTGAAGTTGGGCTAGCTGGTATATAATGATCTGTTACGTGATCGCTAGCAACACAGCTATGTTAGCATAACATAAACACAGTGAAGCTG